ATAAGTACTTCCACAGCTATGTCAAACTACTGATATGTGTTTTTTTTGAATAATGTCAACCCCGGATAAAAATAAAACCTGGTTTATTAATTAGGGGGTACCCTCCAAATAGTCACTTTATATGGTACATACATGGTACCCTCCCAATTAAACAGCCGTTTGGGGTTTATTAATCCAGGGTTGACATTAGATGACGCTGTGGAAGCCACAGCCCACTGAGTTCGATTACGACATTTCAGAGGTTGAACGTTTGACCAATAGAAAAAAAAACGACTTTTTGATACCTCCAAATCAAATATATAGCATACAGATCAGATCTATACAGTGTAGTACATGTAATATGTGTATATATATATGATATATATATATATATGATATATATATATCATATATATATATATATCATATATATATATCATATATATACATATATATAATTATATATAATTATATATATAAATATATTATATATACACATGTATTTTAATTAGGACCAAAAGATGTACAAGATCCTAAGATGATGCATGGATCAAGTCTGATGGCTTACACCATATAAACAGCTATTCAGAAGCTACCTTCAGCGGCTAAATGTCGAGGTCAGACCCATCCCCACATATCAAGACATATCTTCCGTTGATGATTAGATGTCCATTAAATGGATCCATTAAATGTCCATTAAATGTATCCATTAAATGGCCATTAGAAGTCCACATCTTCCATGGTTGATGATAGTTGATTGATGCTCAACCATCCTTTACCCATCCACCCCAACAAAACATATTGATCCTCACCGTCTCCGTCCAATGAGCCATGACCAGCACCGCATGCTTAAAGCATGGGCACGTTGCATCGTGCAGATCGTGCAGCTGACGATCTGCGTGTGGTCAGCTGCAACCGGTGATGGAAGATTACGTCTTGCTCATGTGGAGGTTTCCATAAACAGGGGTATCCCAATAGCTGGTTCGTTTATTTGCTGGAAAATCCTACTCAAATGGATGAGAACTGGGGGTACCCCAACTTTCAGGAAATCCCCACGTATCGGAATTCTTTAGGGGAACATGTGCAGGAAACCAACATGTTCGGCTCATACATCAATGGTTTCATGTAGATCTTCAACGAACCCAGAGATGATGCACTGGAATAAACCTTGGGTTATCCCCCTCCACTTACAATCAGCACATGGATCGTCGTGTTTGGGGTCCTACCATCGTATCAACCCGAATTATCCTCTATTTGTAGGTGAAAAAAACCTAAAATAAATGAAATCAGTGGAACCTCAATCTTTATGGTTTGTGAAGCCTAAAATAATGAACGCTGTACTGTATACGCTATGGTGTCCAAGAACCCCTCCAGTCACTGGTAAATTGGATATGACTTATTCTTGGATGGTTTGCCACATCAATTGGGATAAAACATGATGAAGCCTTTGAAAAAAGTCCCTGGCTGCGATTTTTTTTTACGTCATTTTTTTCCCTTCTGATTAGGATCTTAGTTTCCCTTCAGATCTTGTACGACTTTGAAAATGGAATCTGGGCTTCGTTTGTCTTTGACATCCAGAAATCCAACCTTGCCCACCCCCCCAAAAAAAAACAACAGATTCAACATGCATGATCTCCACGGAAAATCACCATAGATTGGGCTATCATCCCCCAGTATATCTACATTTTCTGGCGGAGAACTGTTGAAACTGTTGCATCCCAAAAATCACCAGAAGAAATCCACGTTTCATGGTGAAATGGCCAGGTTTTTTTTCGGGGGACACATCTCCACTGTTGGGAGCCACCTTCTGGGAATGTTTTATCGTTAATTTTGCAAAAGTGGAAAGATCTACCCATTTTGAGCTCGCGAAATCATCGAAGCAAATGGGCCATGGTTATCTTCTTCTTCCCGTAACTATCATTTATAAACTGGAGGATACCCTCTGGTAAACTAACATAGCTATTGAAAATGGACATTATTATACTTAATCTTCTCATTAAAAATTGTGATTTTCCCATCAGTTACGTTAGTTTACCAGAGGGTATCTTTTATAAACTGGAGGATAAATCCCAATGTTGGAAGGTCGTGGTTAGCAATTTCCGTTCACTGACAGCTTGTTGGTTGCTTTCACCAAGATTCCACTGGAGTTTATGGTGATAAGATGCACAAACTATTGTTATAGCTACAGTACCCTCTGGTAAACATACAAAAAACTATGGAAAATCATGGAAAATCACCATTTTTCATGGGTAAATCCAGTATAAATGGCAATTGTCAATAGCTATGTTAGTCTACCAGAGGGTAGATGGGGTTAGAAACCCGACTCAATCTGCATGATATATTTACACCACATCTCCTTGGTGGGATCGTCAACCCATTTCAAGCGAAAATCAAGATAATTGAAACGAGCAACTAGACATGAGTTGCGTAAAGTGAAGAATAGGCATCCAACTAATTAGTTCAATTGTGTCACGAAAAAATGCAAAAAAAACAAAGAAAGATGTCAACATGTTTCAACTATATATATATATTGCCACACCGCAATATGTTTCGTAATCCATGGCTTGTACTGCACCAGCTCCGCGCATCGTACCACTTTCATCAATACCAAGGTCTACCTCATGATTGATTAGTAACCTTAGTAACTGTTGAATAAATCACCGGTTTGCTTGGTCAAACTTGGTGAACAAATCTGTGTTCATGTTCGTAGGTCTATCCATTGACTGCGGATTGCACCTCACCTAGTGGGCTTCAACCATTCACCAATCGATGCCACGGGTCTCCCCATCTTGGAAAGACCCAAAAAGCTCAGGGCGTTGGGGCTCAACGGTCCCGTTCAATGCGTTGCGAACAAAAGGAACGATGTAATCTCTGTCCTTTTGTGGTGTTTGAATCAATCATGGAAATGTTATCCCACAAGGTAATGATATTTATAATCATGATTATGTCACTATGTTTGGCTGTTGCAAGATGGGCTAGTAACTCTAAGCAACTATATTCACTATAACTATACAAAGTATGTTTGAATCATCAATCACATCAACGGTGTCAAGCACACTAATCATATGAATCGATGTTAGATTTGCATTGTTGTTTACCATTGGTAAGATTATTTTACATCACCGGTTCTCAATAGTTGTTGCAAAACCCCCATGAATATGCCTGATTGAAAATCAATTTTAAGGAATTATAAGGAGTTTGTTTGTCCATGCATGTGACACCTGATCTTGGAACACTGTCTAGCAGTTGAATCTTTCAACATTAGAGGGATGACCACCAACAACGGTGGGACTGTTTACTGCTTTGAAGACCAGCATTAGAAGGCGCAATTTTTGAGCCATGCCCATTTGGGTTTGACTGAAAATAGGGTAATACTGGTTTTGATCGTTTATCAACATCTTCCCTTCAAACATAGCCATAATTGGAGGATACCCCATTTCCAGGTACCAAACCCATGTCGGAACATATTTCTACATCTGCACATCGCGAGAGGAATTTGTAGGAACAGAACCGCGGTGGTGGAGTGTTTTTCCGCATCGAGCATGCAAAGCATTGCAAAGCCAACAGAACCTGTGCCAGATTCAACACACATCCAGTCGATATGTCCATCTTCAGATATTTATGATCATTTATCTATGACCATTTATGATGATTTTCCATTTATCTATGACCATTAATAGATATTTATATGGAACATTATGGAACCCTGAACAAACAACATGCATCCAGTACTAATCATCAAGTTTCAACGCCAGGTGACCTCCAAAGGCAATGGTAGTGTGCTTCCCAACCCGGATTTTAAACCCCTGCTATCAAAACACAATGGTCATGCCAGTTTCCTGCATGGCAAATAGTTGCTCAAGAGGTCTGGCGCATGGGATTGGCTATCTATTTCCAAGCGGAAAATGATGGTTTTTCCAAGTTTCGGTGTGTTGTGGAGCAGTGTAGCCAATCTGACCCTTTCTAAATAAACAACAAAAAAAACGTTCTTACAGTGATCCCCAACCTGACACACTATTCTTACATCGTTTCTGACATGCCATCTGGAAGTATATATGAGGTGATAAAAAAAAAAAAAACGTATAAATTTGCTTATGCCGCTTTCACCTTATCGTTTTTTTCTTCCTTATCGTTTTGCAGACTATCTGCACTTATCACAACCAAAGAGGTTTATGCACATGCGGCCGCCATCCAAAAAATCATTCGTTCAGCTTCCATTGACCTCGGGCATTCATACCTTTGCTGCAAAAACGCTTCTTGGAGCAAACTCACCGTAGCCACATGTAGCCACAACGTGTTTAGAAGAGGACCTTTTTAATGTCTTTAGGTTGGCTGGTTGGTTCAGTCGCTTTGGCTAGCTGGCTGGCTAGCTGAGTTTGTTGTGGTGGCTGGCTGGTGATCAATGGCAAGGTGATCAATGGGCCATGGTGTTTGAAGATGGCTTTCGGGTTAATTTTGTTATCGTTTTTGTTATCGTTTTGTTATCGTTTTGTGTCACGTAAATTCTCCCCATTTGTGGGACACACATGCATGTATATATATATATATGTATATATAATACTTAGCGTTATCGTTTTTTTTTCTTCCTTATCGTTTTACGGTGAATGGACTATACCCGGTACAAAAAGGCAACCTGCAATACTAAATCTAATTGACGGGGGGTTTTTAATTTCCTCATATGGCGTATATATATATATATTCTGACATTCTACCTGACATTCTATCTGGCATTCTTTCTGGCATTCTATCTGCCATCTATTCTGACATACTTTCTGGCATATATTCTGACATTCTTTTTGGCATTCTCTCTGGCATTCTGTCTGGCATGTGTTCGGGTCCAGGCGAGCCCAGCTGACTCCAGATCTCGCGATATGGTGTTGGGGTCCAGGCATGCCCTGGTGTTCGGGTCCGGCGAGGAAGTTGCACCTTTGTTGAAATCTAGAGACCCTCACCTGGCTGGGGAATAAGCAGCTATATACTGGGCCTTTCTACAAATCTCTGGGTGGAAAACTGCCGGTTCCAGGAATGACTAAATCATATAAATCATACATCCAGCGTCCCACAAATTCCGCACATCGCCACCAAATCGCCCGAGGCATCGCCACCAAATCGCCGTGGAGAACGCAGCCCAGCCCTGAGACAGGGGTTTTTGGGCCAGTTATTGACCACAGATCCTTCGGATCCTACGGATCCTGGGGTCCCCAATTGTTACCCATACCCATAGCTATGAATAATTTGACAATTAACCTATATATTATATAGCTATGGTATAATTGTCAAATATATATAGCTATGGGTATACTTCATAGCTATGGGTATGGGTATATTGCTATGAATATTGTCTATGGGTATATTTGATAATTCATAGCTATATATATATATTACCCAATTGGCTATGAATATTGTTACCCATTTGTTACCCATTGGCCCATACATTGTGAACAACAGATCAATGAAATGGACCCTCTGCTTGCTTGACATAGCGAGCTGGATTTTGTTTATTTGTGATGGGTAAATCATCATAAATATTTATAAATGGGCCATGTTCCACAGCTGTGAAATAACCAAAGGGTAAATCCATATAAATGTCATGAAATCATAGTAAATCCCATTAAATCCCATGAAAGCATAGTTCATCCCATTAAATCACCAGAGGGATCGCCATGATATTCCCATCAACTGCTTGGTAAAGTCCAGGAGGTGCCCGCCCAGTCGCCGTATCATCGCCAGTAGGAGTAGTCGCGCTGGTACTGCGTGGTGCCTGACCACGGAGAGACGTAGGAAAGGTGAGGCTCCCGGGCCCCGTTTTCGAAAGCGCTAAGTCGCTAAGTTGCCGTACAGGTCACTTGCTTAACTGGGTTTATGGGGAAGAAAAACCGTATTGCTAGTCATCAGGTGAATCTAAATCAACGCTCACATCACCAGGGCCTCACTCTGTATGGGATAAGCCAGGACATGGAGACTTCATGGGACTTCCTAAGCTGGGTTACGGTAAACGTTTAGATGTGGAAAACCCATCGGGAAACGGAAAATCATCCAGAAATGGTTGATGTTCCACATCTATTTCCGAACGTTTCCCCTATCCAACAAAGATGGGGAACAAATGGACATAGGGCTTTGATGCTTTGTCTGAAAATGACGGATACCCAAAATGGCCACCTTCATGGGAATTAAAAACATGAATTGCTCCATGGGAATGGCATAATGGGGGTGGTATGAAAAAACAAACCCATATAATGATCGCAATTTTGTCATGCTGGGTGGCTGAGCTTGGGTGAGCCCCCCTTTAAGAGAAAATCTGCTCAAGTCAATTTGGTCAATCATCGGCAGGAAAAATAGCATATATCAATAGCACGTCAAACCCCGAACCAGACAAGGAACCCAATAGAAATAGTATCTATCTATATATATATATATACATAGCCCTTCAAGATACCCTTGGCTACCAATTTGGTGCTATTTATATAACAGACTGTGACCTACATAATGTTTATATACTATATATACTATATATATAATGGTTACATTAAACAACATAGTGTTTAGTTTTACACTTTAGTAACCCTCACAAAGACGCTTTTCTGGTCACTATTTTAGATTCACAAAAAAAAAAAGTACCCTCTGGTAAACTAACATAACTATGGAAAATCACCATTTTCAATGGGAAAATCCATTATCAATGGTCATTTTCAATAGCTATTTGACAAATTACCAGAGGGTATCACTTTTCATTTTTCACATGTCTCCAATTATTCCAACCGCCGCGAGCCTTGAAAGCGCGAGTCCTTGTCCGGGCACAAGGGAGGAGCCCTTAGCGCGGTCGGGTCAATTAAGGGCTACTGATCTCAAACATGGTTTTGACAAGGACAAAATACGTATAGCTCGACTTTTGATATGTTACTAAACCATACTAAACCAATGAAATTGTTTTCTTTTGTTGATATGGAGATACAACCATTTAGTGCTTTAAGACGCAAACAACATGTCAGTGGTTGTACCAACTATAATGGAGACTATCATTGAAGTTACCCTGTGGTTATTTAATGCGATCGACTATCATTTTACAGGACTCAACGGTAGGTATTTACCATGCTTTGATGGGATTAATGGGATTTGCCATCTGGTTATCTGTTACACAGCTACGGAAAATGGCCCATGAGTTCTATGATTTATGATATTTTGCCATTTAAAAATGGTGATGTTCCATAGCTATGTCAAATAGCAAGAAGGTAGATTGCCATTTCAACTTAGTAATGTTGACTATGTATAGTTTTAGATAGTGTTGGGTGATAGGTTTGCATATTGTTTTGCTTTGTTTACCTGTTTGTATGGATATTTTTAAAGGGTCCATTATGTGACACCATGTACATATATATATATACATATATATATATATATGCGTGTACATATGTATATATTTATATATGTATATTTCGTTCAAGTTGTAGAGAATTATGTATGGTTATATATATACACACATGGATAAGGAATATGTGGACATATTATTCATTTTAATATATAATGTATGTATATGTACTACAAAAAATGACTATACACAAAAAAATACAAATTTTCGTTTGATGGCTGAGAATTAAGCCATTGAGTACGCTCCGAAATGAGATACTGTGAGATATGCCCAGCCGGACAGCCAGCTGCAACACACGGGGCCCGGGGGGCGTTGGTCTTGGCGGAGTATTGGTTTTGGACCCAGATCCAGCCATCGATTTTGGAAGAACTATAAAATACGTATACCCAATTGGAGCAGTTTCCAAGATGTCAGACGTTGATTGACCGTGGATTGGCTAATGTCATCCTGCCATAGCGGTAGATGGTTCTGGGTAAATTTTAGTATTTCACTAACCTGAATCGTTCGGCCATTTGGAGATGATTTCCCTTACTCACCATGATTCCAGGCTTCGGGAGAACAGTGAGGTCGTTGTAATTTACCCAGATGGTTCTATATAATCTGGACTGGTTGGTGGTTGACCTACCCCTCTGAAAAATATGAAAGTCAGTTGGGATTAGTATTCCCATATATATGGAAAAAATCTTCCAAACCACCAACCAGTTAAGAACCTTCATCTGAGTTGAAGATGTGATATACCCCCAAATGGCCATCAAATAAGGTTCGACAAAGGCTTCGACCTTTAGAGGTAGGTTTTTGATGGTTTTTGTCATATTTTTTCAAGTATCAACTGCAAACCACTAGTGAATAGTTATATAATGATATAATGGTGATATAACAATAAAGAACATATCATACTGTATCATGACTCTCTCATGTTTTGATACGTAGTATATGGTATCTGGTATAGTATCATTTGGAGAATTCTTTGATTTTTCCTTGAGCATCAAATCCCACAGACCCCGTTTTGCGCCCAAAAAACAACTTGGCTTCACGAGGTGGGGCGGCTGGTTTCATGTGGGCCCGGCGCCTGCAAGGGTCCCCAGGGTCAGGTGCCAGGGACCAGTTCAAGTGGGATATCTATGGAATATTCATGCATATGCCAATCATGTCATGGTTAGATTTAAAGAAAAAAACAAGCATGTTATGTGAGTATATATATATAATTATATATATACGTTGCCGTAGCTCTCATGCTATTTTATTAGCTACTACACATGAATGGTTAGTGTTTGCGGACATCTCGGAAAATATACCAAGCCCAAGCAAACCACGATGTTGTGAGCTCTGGTGACCTTGATTTTTGACAAACAAACCTGCAGTGGGCAGTGATGCAGTGATGAAAAATCCATATCTTCGTTGATTTCACAAAGAATCTGACTTGGAATTTGATGCCACAACAAAAATCAGATATCGTCACTGTGAACCACAAAAAAGGCTTATCAGAATACTCATCCACCGTTGTGAAAATCCCAATCTTTGTTGAAATCTCAATCAAAATGCGTAAAAAAAAATCTCTCCTCATCATCTCTCCACCACGAAAATCCTGCCCCTTGGGCCCCCCCGGCATCTGTTTCTGATCGAATTTGCGAAAGTCGCGGTGCAGCACTGAGCTCGTCTCCAGGAATTTGGCCGATGGATCCACATGGACTGCCTGGCGGTAAAAATGGCATGGAGGGGACCTATGGAGGGGGACATGCCTGGCATAGGGACTTGGGACACTCCAAATGAAGATGATTTATGTGATTTGAAAATCCATTTTAATTCAAAATAATTCAATGTCATTCCAAACTTGTTGCCATTTTATTTCAAATAGAAAGCGGCACACGCAGGAATGTGAAGCATCTGACAGAACATGCTGAAGTCATAGTGCGTCCTAGCTAGAGACAATTTCGATCTTGAGTCGTACGGGAAGCCCATCACCATAGAGACAACATACCCCGCCACCCCTCCACACCATAGGCGGGGGCGAGGGTTGTTGGAAGACCCATCCGGTGGCTTTCGCCATCTTTTCCGACTTTTCCCTATCCAAATTGACTGTTTATGGCACCGTTGGTCCTTAAACATCCCAAACGGTTTACCATGGTTTACCCCACCTCCAGAGCCAGATGGCCCATGAAACTACCGGCCAGTTCCATGACGATGGTTCATTGATCCCATCCACTGTTGAAAAACGCCCAGATGGTTCCCAAAAAAGGTATAGATTCAATCTTCAATGATTTCAAAAAAAAATAGTAGATGGATTTCAAAATTCATTCAAAAAATGTATGATTTCAAGAATATTCAAGAATAGTATATGGATTTAGATTCAATGAATAGATTCAATACATCCTAATTCCCATTCCCCATAGATTAACTAGATTCATCACCCAATGAAATTTGTCAGGGAGGCATTTCATGTTGGGGTGATGGGTTATTATTGGGTTTACCATCCAGCAACTTATTAGCCTTAGAACCTAAATCAGGATGGACGTATAAAGCGTCTATTTCTAGCTGCCTTAAGTTCTGGAATAAAGTTTGAAAGAACTAAGTCTATATTTAAAAAAAATATAAAACACTTGGACTTAGTTTGAATATGTTCAAATTGAGCATAATAAATAAGTCCACACAAAACTTTTTGGATAGTCACCTTATTTGTAAAAAAAACACACACAAAAGTACAAAAGTCTCCAGGGACATGACATCATTTCCCCGACTGCACCTCATAAGGCCTTTGGTTTTGGCCCAGCACTGAACTGGCCGACGCGGCCGACGCTGGGTCCTAGCGTGGCCATTTTTCAGCAATCCATGTTTGATTAGTAGAGAGGAACTTACAAGTTATAAGCCTCAAAACTCGATTTGGAGACATTTGAACTAACAAACGTGAACGTTTTAACAAACGTCAAAAGTGGTTTTAAACCAACAAAATGGGATGAAACAATGACAGTTTGTTCCACACTTGTTTTTTGGGATGCCCCAAAACGGGAATCTAGCTTTGCGTTGGGAAATCCACATGTTTGACAAGAGAATAATCTCCAAATGATTAAAACATGTCATTGGAAAATCTACGGAAAATTAGCACATTGGGAAAATTATTCTGATTTTATCAAGTATGTGCCATATCACTTTTTTCCATGTCCAGCGTTGATGGAATGATACCTGCCAGAATATGGCAGTCCCTCGGCTTTTTTTTTTGGTGATCTACATAGCAACATTGCATTCCCCATTTATAGTATTTTATAGTTGTTCCAGTGCCATTATATTTGACATGATGGAAAACTAATGCAGATTTAATATTGAATAACATCATGTTCATCTACTTTCCATGAGTTTTCCATCATGTGAAATAGATTTCTCTGTGCCAGGTTCGATTGCCACTGATGGAACCAAAAATTTAAAACATGGGCTACAAATGTGGGCTACAAATGTGGGCCCACGTCAGAAACCTTCAGTGTTGCGAACTCTGATGAGTAAGTAAAACTAACATTCCCAGGGTTTTTCTGCTGCAGTTATAATGGAGCCAGTTGATAAGTGAAATGAACAACCCAAATATGATGAACATACCATTATATTCTATATCAATTTAAATTAAATATAAGTATATGTTATTCTGTGCTGATATTCAGAAGCTGAGGGAATCGTCTCAAGTTCAAGCTGAGTTGTGGGTTTCCCGGCTCCAAAAGTACCAGAACAGCGACCCGAGTCAGGTTGGATCAACACCCATGATATGATACATTTGGGTGCATGAACATCGACTTTCCAGCTGTTGTGATGTTGACGTATACAGGGTTTTGACACATTCCCCAGAAAACTGGGAAACTTCCAGAGAAAACTTTAGTTGGATAGCGATCTTGGGAAACTTCCGCCCCACCACGGCACTATGCTATGCAACCATCCATAATGGCAAACACATCTGGTTGGTGGTTTCAACCCCTCTGAAAAATATGAAAGTCAGTTGGGATGATTATTCCCAATATGGAAAAATAAAAAATATTCCAAACCACCAATCAGACATATATATATATTGGCCTTGTATGGCTAATAATCGATACACCAATATGTCTTGGATACTGACCAATTTACGATCAAGGTGAATCATCAAGACCCTCCAATCGGTACCCAGTGCGCACATAGGCCGGGTACGAGGACTTTGTAGTCGTTACCTGAAGGGGAACGCCATGTGCAAGTGGCCCGTGGGTACGAGGGCCACCAGGAAAAGGTACAAGGTGGTGCCCCAGTGAACTAAATCGTTAAAATGATTAGTTCAATCATATTTCACTAGGAATTATGGCGATGAAATAGCTATATAGTTGGGTGTAGATGGTGTTATGAAGCAAATTACAACTAGGGTAGTCATTATCAAGTAATTCATCAAACCTATCAGGGATCACATGTCAATCTAGCAGTCAACACCTGCAAACACCTGTGAGGAGTATCTGGTGGGGTCGCAACTGAGGTTGCGCACAAGAATATCCCAACTTCCCCTACACTCAATGTGTGGGATAGTTGCCAGCGTTTATCCGAAAAACGACCCGAATGTATCTACAGATATACCATGCATGAGGCTGGTCTGGGATCCTTCTTGGTTCTGTCATATTACGTCTATCTAAGTATGGCAAATGTATCTGTAAATGGTTTTATATGGTCATTACAGGTCATTACAGCGTCAAATTACTATCATGGCTATGGTTATGGTTGGTTCTCTCTCACTCTCTCTCTCTCTATATTATATATATATATTTATATAATTACACCACTTGGATCCTTCCATCAGCTCTAGGTCCCCAAACGGATGAGAGTGGCGGCTTCGGAGTGTTGGCACCTGCCAGACTCAGTAAACGAACATGGGCAAGCCATGGCCTATCCCATATGCTCCATGTATGGTATATTTACCTACAAAACTGGGTGATTTTTAGGGCAAATGTTGGTAAATATACCATACATGGAGCATATGACCTATTGAATTCGATGTTTTACCATGGTTTACCTATCATAATTCATTGATTTTCCATAGCTTACAATTGGGTTGAAAGAAAATACCTGGGGAGAAGCCATGGATGATTCAAGATATTCAAGATATCGGCGGTTGGATGAATGTTTACCCGGCTGTTGATCATTGGGCCACCATTTTAGTACATCCCAGGCTGACATTGTCATACATTATCCATATGTGCAGGTGATGTCTTTGGGAGTCAGGTTAGTTCATTGTCCGAAAGCTGTGCAACAGCAGTACTTCTGACTTGCCTTTCCCCGTGTTTGCTATGGATGGAAACTGAAAAGTACTGCTGAGTTAAGAAATACAAAGCCCCCATCAAAAACAACCATAACTTTCTGGTGAACTTCTTCCAAACATCCCGAATTCCCCCCGAATTCAAAGGGAGCAACAGCTCACCACCAAGCAAGAAAAGAACCAAGGTCCAATTTCTTCCGCTTGTCATCCAGATTGTTCTCTAGTAGACTATATATACATAGAGATTGAAAGTCCGCCATAAATGCAGATCATGTTTCTTGGATTTTGCCATGTGAACCACTAGAGTTGGATCAGTTAGACAAGGTAACATCAACCGAACATTTCACGAACTTCTTCAAGGGCACCACCTAAAACCTACACCCCAGCGGACAACCCGCGCCTGCCCCGCGGGACTGCTGTTTGTACAGCTCCCGCAGCTCATTGGTCGGACCGAAGGCATCCAGAGAGCAGGGCGTGAAGGTGGAGTGATAGGTACACATGGAACGTCTCATGCCGCTATCCACCTCGTAGCCAGGCAATGGCCGGGCTTGGTACCCGTAGTGGGGATGGTGTTGGATATATTTTTCTGGGGAATGGTGGTTCATGGAGATATCCAATATGATATGTTCAGGGATATGGCATCAGCAATATTGTTCATTTGGGAATGGCTGAACATATGGGATTTGCCCAGACATTGCAATTCTTGCAGGGAAAATGCTAATGAACCAGTGGAGCACTGGGGCTCTCAGACCCATATGTTTTTGCACAGATGAAGTACTAACATAATCAGACATGTAAGATGGGGTTGTGAGAAGATAGGATACCTGTCCAAAAAATCAATTGATGTATCAGACATCATAATTTTGCCCATTGTTCGAAGGCTCTGTATTGGGGTATTCCCGCGTATATATCGTAATTATAATATGTCCAGGTGCAGTATATCCCGGGCACGGTTGTGCTGGGATGATGAACCGTGTCTCTACTATAAACCGCGAGAGCTAGGATCTGTGATTGGCCTGAGTTTTTACTGTCAGTGGGGGCACACTAGCCCTGTAGTACCTGTAGTCTACTAGTCTACTGTGCAACCCGAACAACGAACACAGCTGGAAGTAGACTTCCCCCATTTCTGAATCACAAAATCAGCCCCGTAAACCCTCACCAAAAAAGAAAACAGACATCAATCTCGAAAAAAACTTTGTCCAAGTCCGATGTGGTACCCTCTGGTAATGACTAACATAGCTATTGGAAATGGCCCAGTCGAAATAGTGAATTTTCCCATTAAACATGGTGAATTGTCCCATTAAACCATCCCCACCCAGCAGGTTTATGGCATTGGGTGCATCCCAATTTATGATCATCCACGAACTAATCATCAACGGTGGTTTTTTGACGCCATAGCTCAAGTCGATAATCCCCATTAAATCCCATCACATCCCATTAAATGCCCATTAAATCCATAAATCCCATTAAATCCCATTAAATCCCATCAACTCCCTATTCCATTTCCATGAAATCCCATAAAATCCAGATCCATCTCCATCGACCCGCTGTCGCCGGCCCTTTTCTGTGCTTCCTGGCGCCCGAGGGCTGAAATCTCCTGGGAGGTTCTCGAATGGACTGAAAGGACGAACTCCTGCACGAAGGAAACGAAGGGAAACCACGAATACACCATTGATAATTGCGAAATCTACATTTGATAATCCAATACAATCCCTGAGAATATCAATGAAGAAGGAACTTTCATATATATATAGAAATATACCATTGACAATTGGGAATATCATATATAGAGATATCTCGATAGAGTAATTGGGAATATAGTAACTTCACCAGATTGTACCAATGCTGCCCATCATTGGGAATATCATATATGTGTACATGTAGTACTCCGATGTAATCCAGGAAACAAAATAGAAAAGTGGACTCCTACAAAAATTCTGATGTTGACTTGTCTGTCTTTTTTGTGATCATAGTTACTATATGCAATCTGACAATATATAATTATATACATAACAAAAACAATGTGTATATATATATGCATAAGTACGAGAAACCTGAACAATGTCAAAACCGTCTGGGGATATAATGGGAATATCAGCAACAATTCATATATACTGCATATAATATATACACATATATATTAATATTAATATGTATATATATATATTTATATTAATATATACATATATATGCGTATAGACTTTTGATGGGATAGACTGATATAGAATGGATACAGCCAGCTGATCACAGCCACCGCGACCCAGGAAAAACCCGCTGCGCAAGCGAAAAGGGAAAACCATTTGTTCCACAAAATCAGCTTTGTAGATAATGTGGAATACATCCTATACTGTTCCTGTGGAATAATGTAATGATATGTAATGTAATTTACATACATCCTATAGATGTTCCTGTGGAATATACATACAATACATGTTCCTGTGGAATACATTTACTTTCGATAGCTTTGTAGAGAATAAACCAATCGAAAGCATCCGAAAGTTTTGAGATGCTAGACCGTTTGACCCTGCGTCAACCCTCCCTTGAGGCAAACCCTGCAGTGCGGGTCGCAAATCACTTGTCCGAATTAGAAGCAACGTGAGAATGTGTCCCCCTGAAAGATGTTGTCAAACATCTGATAATTGAACATGCGTTTCTGTGCTTATTTTGAAACTAAAACGACCTGTTTGGATTCTTCACAAACAAACATAATCTATGTAGGGGGAAGAATCATATCACAACAAATAGATCCCCCAAGATCACAAAGGGATCGCAATTGGATGACATCAATGATTATAGCAACCCAACAAAAAGATAGAAAATGATAGAAGAGTGTTTCCAGCATGGTATATAGATGATGGTGTCCCCATGTTTTCCAGGTTTCAATGTGTTCTACCTTTTTGGCGGTTGCTATGGTCCCAGAACGGGGTTTCTTTCTACAATAGCACCTTTTGTCGGGGCCCGTTATTTTACCACCAGAAGGTGACGTTTTTGGCCCCTCAATGAACGCTCAAGTTTGATCTGTCCTGGCCATCTGGGCATTGATGGGATTCTCAGCAAAGTGGTTCCTATGCCGCCAGTGTCATGTGAAGGGTAACTTTGTACGTGAGCAGCAGGGAGAAAGGGAAAATCAAATTGAGAGGAACATTCAAAAAAAAACAAATGAGTATATATATATATATAAAGATACATCCATAGTATCTTATAGTACTCCAATTTGGCTATGTGCTTTATGATTTTTTATGATACTTATAAGCCCATGATAAGTTTAGACATGGAGCCAGCCTCATCGTATCCCCCGAGGTCGTCGAAAAAAAGGCCTTGGCCTCGGCTCACATCTGGAATCACATGGATTCACCAACAACACATGTGGTTTTTTAATGGTATTTGTTTTAAAGGATGGCTTCTAGCTATGAAAAGAACTATGTAATGCACATGTTTAATGCCTCATTTATGGTGGATTATAAATTCATATGTTTAAACAAAAAAATGTTGTTGAACTATCAGTCGGTGATAGTTAAATCATGTTAAATCAGTCGGGTTATCATCTGGAATCAATGTTTTGGGCTGGAGGATTTCACCAGCATCCCATCCTGGCCACCCGGGTTACTCCGGCACTGGAAAAATGATGGGATGAAGTTGATGACCCGTCGAGCTCACCAAGCAACTCGTCACCCAAGTCATTCATAATACCCTCTGGTAAACTAACATAGCTATAGAAAATCACCAATTTAAATAGGTAAATCCACTATAAATGGGGTATTTTCAATAGCAAACTGTTAAATTACCAGAGGGTATCAGCTCCCACCCATTTCTGTAGAAAGAACACGAGAACACGGCCGAAAAAAATTCGTGTGTTGCTTCGCCAGGAAAATTTCCTCCAATTCTTCAGTGACTGGCCAGTGGGATGGGAACATCCATTGAACTTTGCTGTGGTTTCTGATTACCCTCTGGTAATTTAACATAGCTATTGAAAATGGCCATTTATAGTGGATTTTCCATTAAGAATTGTGATTTTCCATTGTTATGTTAGTTTACCGGAGGGTAATATTCCAGATACTTCTTGGTGATATTCCGATATTTTTCTAGGTGAGCGCTAGGCTGTTTGCCAATGTCAAGGTTGGGAAACCGGGCTTTATCCCGAAACTGGTTAACAAGGCTCAAAAAAGAAATGATAAACCGATAAACCCACAAAATATCCCAAATCATTGGTTGTTCTGGATCTTCTTCCTCCCAAAGATGGAAAACTCTTGAAAAATCTCATGTTACCCCTCAAATCACTATGAAGTTGCTGAAATACCCATAAAAAAATGTATTAAAACCCATTATAAGTCCATTAAAACCCGCAACGAAGATCCACAACGAAAAACCACAACGAATCTCCAGAGGCTCCATCCCGTGCCAAGAAACGCAGACCTCCGGCGACAGGACGCCGTGCACCGAGGGCAGCGGCCGCATCTTGGAGGAATGCGCCGCAGCTGGCGAGGCGAACGCGAGGCGAACGGACATCCGTTGATCCCAACTATCCCATAGCCATGACGGATCCATACTAACATACCCTCTGGTAAACTAACATAGCTATTGAAAATGGTCATTTATAGTGAGTTTTCCCATCAAAAATGGTGATTTTCCATAGTTACGTTAAATTACCAGAGGGTACCCATAGGATCCATGGTGCTGGTATATATGCTAACATGACTGGGGTATATTGATGGGATCCATGTTAGCATATATGCCAGCACCAGCCGGATCCGTCATGGGATATGAAAGCCATGGTGCTGGTATACTAAAACCTACAAAACTGGGTGATTTTTTGGGGTAAATGTTGGTAAATATTCCAGCACTATGGAGCATTTGGGTATGATAATCTATGATCTATGATGTTGAAGATGATGGGATATCTTACTATTATCATAGTGAGGAAAAGATATCTTATGTTGTTTTTTGAACAACTAAGTTTTATCTATGATCTTATCCCATCTTAAAAATATCATATCCCATCTATTCCCATTATAATAAGGTACCCCATCTATTCCCATCTTATGATCATCTGATAATCTGATGTTATATGTTATGATATTCCCATTAAATTATAGATGGTTAGAAGATGTGGAATCATGTGAAAATCCGGTTTTCCATCATGTTTGTAATTCATTTTATTAAAGCATGCTTAGATTGCCAAGAACATCTTATTGGAGATTAGTCAACATCTTATCGCTTATATAAAATAAAATATTAAATGATCAGAATGGTCCCATCTTATCATATCTTATCAAGTTGCCTAGTTATAGTTAGATCCAATTAGATCCCATGATATTCCCATATTGATGGATACCCTCATACACATAGTTAATACTGATTGTATAATATATATATAATATTATATATATTACATTATATATAATATAATATAATATAATATAATATTTTATATATATCAAATATAATCTATTTTATATTATAAAATATATATTATAAATGATATATATTATATATTATATATTGTAAATTATATATTATATATTATATAATATAAATTATATATTATATATTATATATTATATAATATAAATTTTATATTATATATTATATATTAGATATTATAAATTTTATATTATATAGTATATTATATCATATTATATTATATTATACTAAATATATGATATTATATTATATAGGTTATATTCTATAGATATTCTATAAATTATACTATATACAATGTTTCAAGATCACTTCATTTATGATACGTATGTTCAACATCACTCCACTTACTACCAGGAATTCACCCAGCTTACACCGGGTAGAACAGCAGAACTGCGCACCTTCATGAGGAGGCGGCGGCATCGCACTTGCATAAGCAAGGCGCAGCAATGCGCTTCAGTTGGAGCTGAAGTTTTGGATGATTAGGTTATAATTGGGTTATAACATAATATAATCCTACTTATAACCAAATATATAATATGTTATAACCCAATTATAAGATCTTATAAGATCTTATAAGTGGAATGTAGTGCGATAACCAGCCACCGGGTTACGAAATGTTCCGAAGCAAGATACATGTCCTCTCAGCCCTGGGGTGAATTACATCAGCGTGACACAGTGAACGGATCATGTATTGCTATGATATGGACATGTTTATAACATATAGCCGATTTCTATGTTACGGATATGACACAAGGATAGCAATGAATTGTATGATATATTATATGTTACGGATTCACTATTTGGACATCTATGTTTATGAACAATGAACAATTCTAACATGTCCAAATACTGAATCGGTTTGGTAATAGATTCAAAAAGATGGTCTTCCTCCGGCTATGATTCATGAATCTGTATGTGAGGTCCTTGTTTTTAGATACCCTCTGGTAATTTAACGTAACTATGGAAAATCATCATTTTTTATGGGAAAATCCACTATAAATGGCCATTTTCAATAGCTATGTTAAATTACCAGAGGGTACTGTCGCTGATCGTTGCTGTGTTTCATTCACTCTCCCCCCTCAAAAAGCTTTGAGCCAAGGTTGCAGGATGCAGAGTTTTTGGAGATGCTTTCCCAGTCGAAGGTTGCGGCGAAAAAAAATGTGCTTCTTTTGCGGTGAAAAAAACGACTCTATCCATAAATAACCCCATGAAATATTCCATACACCAATTATATATCTGGGTAAATTATAATATGTCACTATATAACCTGAATTGTTCGGCCATTTGGGGATGATTTCCCTTACTAACCATGATTTCCAGGCTTCGGGAGGACAGTGAGGTCGTGATGAAATTTACCCACCAACTATAGAAATGATAAGCCACCAAGGAGTGCTGTATCAAACTTTTTTCAATAAAAATTGGAATGTGGTTATAGAAATGATAAGCCACCAAGGAGTGCTGTATCAAACTTTTTTGAATAAAAATTGGAATGTGGTTGGGAAACTCAACTCGTAGCTCCGACTAGCTTGGCTCCCCATTTCAAAAAAGGGAATATGAAATAATATGAATAGCCATAGCTCCTTAGCTCGCTCCCTCCATTCACCACTGGATAGTCACTTGCTCTCCCATCCCCTGACATCGCAACTGTTTTTTCTGTATCAGGTCTTTGCGCCAAAAGGGGGGCCTTCGGGTTGGGGTCTGACCGGTTCTTCAAATGAGAATCGATTATATATAAATTCTATGAATATCTGGGTAAATTATGGTAAAGTGTAATATTTCATTTAGCATAAGGTTATATTGGGATAAGTCCCTTTTATTCGCCATGATTTCAGTGATGCGACAGTCTGATCAAGATAGTCTATACTCTTTGATTTGAACATGAACTTAATCTTTTAACTATACAGATCATGTATACAGATCATTTATACATGAACTATACTAAATATACAAATCATTTACATAACCCAGCTGCATATCTTCTACTCCCAAATCACCGTCTATTTTTCGGCCCGTCACTCGGTCCGAGAATCTGTGGATCTGGGGTATTACAAGTGGGCTTGCTGTCAAACCCAAAGCCATATGCGAACCATGGTGCTGGTATATAAAAACCTACAAAACTGGGTGATTTATGTTGGGCAAATGTTGGTAAATCTTCCAGCACCATGGTTCACATATGGGACATGAATGTAGCCCAGGGGTATTGACAACATGGAAATCTGGTTGCTGGGATGGCTCTGAGATGATCACAGGGAAAAAAAAGTCACTATATTCACTGAATGATATCTACCCTCTGGTAAACAAACATAGCTATTGAAAATGGCCATTGAAATAGTGAGTTTTCCCATGAAAAATGGTGACTTGCCATGGTTATGTTAGTTTATATGTTGCGATTGCTTCGGATATATCTTTGAATCCTTTCAAATCCCTACCTTTGATGAGTTGATGACGGATTATTAGTAATGGGCCATGGGATTAGTTAACTTGGGATGTAGCTATATCATATGCTATGGGTATCTACTATGGGTTATAAACCCGGTCACGACCAGTTGACGAATCCCACGGCCCATTGGTGAGTACACCAAAAAGAACAACTACAATGTTACAATGTGGGTAAAACAATGTCATTTTTACCACCCATGACTGGGCATGGTAAGTTTATACCACCTCTTAAAATGGTGATTTGGATTGATGACTGGGGGATGGTAAACATGGCATTGTTCTACCCACACCATCAATCCTCCCACCATTTCTCTCGTCGCAGCCGTTCGAAGCTCAGCGTCGCCTAATCGCCTAATCCTGCTCCTCAGTGCGCAAGCGCGCGTTCCTGTTGGTCACCTCAGTGCAAGGTGCTGCCTCCAGTCACCGTTATGTTATGTTTGTTGGTTTATAATGCCATCTATATACAGTAACTATAATCCCATGTTCTTTGTGTATAGTTAGATACAGTTTATCTACTCAGAATCAACTTCTTTGAAAGTTACTAGACATTTAATTATAGTATGTATATTATAATGAACTTTGTGATCCAAACGCTAACCTGGTAACATCTTCCAAACGCAAACGCGGAAAACGAGTTCTACAGCGACGTCTCGCTGAAATTTTCACCACCTTCTGGGAGAAGCTTACTGCAACTCATCCCACCTATAGTAGGGGGCCGTTCACCCCATAAGTGAACTAGGCCGTAACTAAGTGGGATAAACCACCAAGTCGTGATACTAATATACATATATACATATATATATATATATATATCTAAGTGTATTATACATAAATATTATATATATATATATATATATATTATGTATGTATTATATATATACATATGTGTATTATACATAGATATATATATATGTAATCAGACATTTAGATCCAACCACTAGTGTAAATGTAAGTGTTTAGATACCAAGATATAGTCGCTTAATGGATGTAATCCCATCTCCCCGAATTGGCTGGGAAATTCACCAGATCCATTTCTTCCTCATTGAGAAGGCAATTTGGACGCACCGATATACATCCACATTCCCCATGTTGTTGGTTATGTAGTTACGTATAATTATATATATATACATATCATATATAAGATATAAGATATAATATATAATATTTAAGATATAATATTTAAGATATAATATAAAATATATAATTAATATCTAATATTTAAGATATAATATATATATATATAATCCGTATCCCATTACATCCCCATATAGAATTCTTATTTTATGCCCTATGTTTGATGCTTAAAAGCCTTGAGATGGCTGAGACAAATCCATGAAAGACTTCAGGCTTCGTTTTAGGAACCAAACCACTGGCCAACTTACAACTGGGAACCCCACAGTGTGATTATTTGCCAAAATACCAGGCTTATAGGCTTTTTAGTGGGAAAATCATCAAACATACCCTCTTGTAAACAAACATAGCTATTGGAAATGGCCATTTATAGTTGATTTACCCATTAAAAAATGGTGATGTTCCATAGTTATGTTAGTTTACCAGCGGGTAATTCTATATGGAGGTTTCCTGAAATGGGGGTACCCCCAATAGCTGGATGGTTTTTAATGGAAAATCCATCTATAAATGGATGATTTAGGGGTTCCCCCATTTTAGGAAACCCCCGAATATGTCCGCCCAACTCCCAAGACTGAGCCGCCCCACGTACAATCGGAGCTGGTCAGCTCGCTCCACGATCTCCTTGCGCTTCTTGGCACCGACGTTGTGGGCGACTTCCACGGCGTACTTCTCGTTGTGCATGAGAAGCATCTCCAGGTCTGCTGGGCAACGCACAACAAACTTGTAGAAGCCGTTCTTCAGGCGGAACCTGGTCTTCTTGTCGGAGCCATAACCAATCTTGGGGCAAAGGGTGGAACCCTTGAATCGTCTGCGCACACGACCATCGATGCCTCTGGGCTTGCGCCATGCTGGGTTCATGCGCTTGAAGCGATCAGCTTGGAACCGGGTGAACTTCTTGGTTCGCTTCTTCACAATCTTTCTCTTGTCTGCGGGCGTCGGCATGGCTACCTCAGTATCTGCACCAAACGGCAATTCAACAACAGTCTGGAAATCAAGATGTGGAATGGTGAACATGATGATTACCTATGCTAGTCTGATTCCCATGGATTCAATCCTTAAATTATACTCAATCCACTTGCTTCCGAAATAATTCCTGGATTCCTTTGCTTGCTTTTCAAATGTCCCGCTACTACATAAACACCACCCACGAATTGGTGGCATCATCTGTAACAACTGTCTAAAGATGTAACAAGCTGTGACTCACAGTCTACTAACCAAGCTGAGTTCAAGACAGACTGCTGAGCTCAACAGCTGTGGGGACGAGTGAATCCAGATTCCCTTGACAAAAACACGCCGCGCAGGGACGTGCAAATTCGGTTAAACCCGCTGGCGCCATGGGTTCTCCTGGCAGGATTCCATCAGATGCCTCTGATCCAGTCCCATGATATATCCGCGAAAAAATGATGGTTTCTATCAATCCATCCACCAGGGAAACCACCATGTGGCAAAATCTCTGGTTGGAAATAAGCTTACAGGTGCTTAGATAGATAGTATTGTCGGTCAAAACCCTGGTACCCAAACGGTCCCCCAAGTTATGGCTGGTATAGCTGGATGACTTTTTCCCACAGCCATATTAATTTTGTAGGTTTTGACCCATCCCCATATAGATACTATGTTACTATGTAAATATAAATATCGAATAGGTAGATCCAAACATTATCATAATTAAACATGAAGCTGTTTATTGCAAGATAGAATGGATGTAATCCCATCTCCCTCAGTTGATCGGGATTACCTAAAATTTGAGGCCCCCAAAACGATAGTTGAGTTGACTTATAATTTACTTGGTTAACGTGTGAGTTTATAGAGGATATTATAGCAGGGGGGTAAAGCCACTTATAAATGGTGGCTCCACCTTTTCATGGCCATTTCAGTAACCGATTTATTGGAGGTACCTACTATACAGAAGGCCTATCTTTAGGGCCAAATTTCAGAGAATATCCCCACGCAATTTGGACTGAAATATGCTAGTTACCTTTATTTTTAGGGTCCTGAAATTTCCATTGAACCTTGTAGGAACGTATTATATAATCGTATTCGTTGATGTTATAAGTACCCTCTGGTAATTTAACATAGCTATGGAAAATCATCATTTTTAATGGGAAAACTCACTATTTCAATGGCCATTCTCAATAGCTATGTTAGTCATTACCAGAGGGTATACATAATTATCCTATTTTTATGAGTGATTCAGTGGGACTTGTGATGGCACCAACAAATTTTCCCAACAAATTTTCCCAAGAAACCAGATTCCATCAGATTCCCCAAAAATTGTTTCACCAATAAAGACATAAAATTAGAAAAACAACAGGAAATCACCCATCTCAAGATTCGAAGGTCTGCGCCAAGGTACTTTCTCGTTTGTGGTCTTGCTCAGGTCAAGTGTCTGTCTCAAGGATCCCCATTGAAACACGACGGACGACGAAAGACGACAAAGAGAAAAAAACGAGCAAAAGGGTTTCAAGGGTTCCTCTACGGGACCTCCGGGGGAAGAAATTCCAAGGGTTCCTCTCCGGGACCTCCGGGGAGAAAAAATAAAAATAAAAATTTTAAAAAAATTAAGACGGGCACATACCATTGAGAAAAACACATAGCATGTTTTATGCATATTTGCAATGTTCGGTCGCAAGTGTTCTTCCCCGGGGTATGGGTTTGTCTCCGGGATTTTATTTTATTTTTTATTTTTTTGGCAGCCTTGAGCGCGAACCTTCACTGTGGGAAAACACTTGGCCTTGAGAAATCCTTCGAACATGGGAACATTTTCCGGGAATACGGTTGGGAAACCAGGACCTTTGAGGAGGGGAAAAAGAAAGCACCTTTGATACAGGGAGAAGGGTTGAGACAGGCACATACCATTGAGAAGGTAGAAAACCCTTCGTCCAGACTTTTGAAAGATGTATCAATTGATGTATCAATTTTTAGTCCCCAACAAAAACTCAACCGACTCAACCCATCCAGGTCTTCTCACCCGACCAAACCCCCGGCGGCGCTGGTCGTTTTCCACACCCCGCTGCCGAGTTCGTCGTGGTTCGTCGCCCTCAGTCGGTCTCCTCTTTGCGCAAGCGCGCCTCGCGGTTGGTGACCTCAGACCGCTGTCTTGGCCGGTTGGATCAACTGTGGAAACATCTGGGATTTCAGTGAGGCTTGTATATATATATACATATCATATCATATCATATCATATCATATTATATCATATTATATTATATTATAATATATATTATATTATATTATAATATTATAATATATTATATTTTCTATTACATTAAATATATATACATAGTTTTATATTTGTATATATATATATATCGATCATTTAAGGATGGATTGATCGTTTTTAGATATGAATCATTAATATGAATCAATGGACTCATTTCAGGGAACATTCACAGAAAACTATGGATTCTACTACCATGCCAAATCTGGAGGCATCCTGTAATTTTATGTAATTCTCGCCTGCAGGCTATTCCGAAAAAAAAATGGTAAGGATAATCATGATTCATGATGAACCCATAGGATCCATGTATGGTATATATGCTAACATTTGGGGTATATTGATGGTAAATGTTACCATATATAGCATACATGGATGCTATGGGTGATGATACAACCAAACAAAATCCCAACCATCTGGGTACTTGGATGTGCATCTCCAGAATCGCAAGCGGTGTCAACTAATGGTTATAAGCCATATCCATTTTTTTCTACGGTTGTAATATATATATATATGTATATATAGGATATATATATATATTTATTATCATATTATCAATATATATATATATACATATACCTGTTTAGGAAGGCATGGATCACTTCTTACTTGGAGGCATTTTTGGTACAAAAGTAGGGTTGTGCGCCCTGGGTTTTTGAGGGTTATGAGCCCAAGTCAGCGTTTTTCCTAGCGCAATGGAAAGGTCCCAATCAGTGCCGATTAGGGGAACCTCGAATATGGAGTTGAATCCTTTTCACTCACGACGGGTTCAAGATGGATACTTGTTGGATGCAGCAAGACCGGCAAATCTCCCGAGCCCAGAGGATAGCTTTGTAGCGGAACCCCTTAGCAATGCCTCAGGTGCGAATGAACTTGGCCAGGTGTCGGATGGACCAACTGGGAAGGGTCGAGGTAGCATGTCTGCAGGAACGATGGACAATGGGCTGCCTGGATCTACACGAGGTCTGGAAGGCAGGAGAACCGAGGGCAAGCTGCCTGAGCAGGATGCTGGGGTGAAAACTATGGGGCCGGTGAATGGGCCTACGGGGAGACTTGAGTCACAAAGGGATTCAGAAGGACTTCAAAGGGCACTTGAGGGAGAGCTAGTTAGCTACCTCAGAGAACAGAATTCGCGGCTGATGGATGAATTGGCCACCCTCAGAGACAAACTGGAAAAGACTTCGGGTGTGGAGTCGTCTCCTTGGTCTGATCTGGGTGCTGTAGGGTCTTCAGATGGGCCTCAACAGCTGGAACGTCACAAGGTAGCCGAACACCTCGTGCACGAGTGCGTGAAGCAGCGGTGAGTCCTGAGCGGAAAAGGCAACCTCAAAGGTTCACTCCGAATGGAACCAAGGTGCCGGATGGGCCACCACCTGATGATGAGTTTTGTTGGCCACCAATCCCACCAATCCCAGGGATTGAGAAGGGTCAGAATGTGGTAGAAATGGAAAACATGAGTGGTCTTTACGACACATGTGAGTCAAAGCCACGTGTGAGAAATGGGGACCGCGAATGGAAGCCTCAATGTGATGGTGTGGTTTCTGCAAATGAAGCGAAACAGTTTTGGTTGGAACAAGAGGTGAAGTCTCTTCGAAAGGCTTTGGATAGGGTGGCAGTTCCCACAGCTTTTCAGGAGTCAGGATACTGGAATGGAGGATTTGAGTCTGGGGTTAATCCTCAGCAGGGCTCAGCTGTGCCTAGTGCTCCTATGAGCTTTGGCGACAGCGGCGTCAATCCTCAGCGTGGCTCAGCTGTGCCTAGCGCTCCTGTGAGCTTTGGCGGCAGCGGGGTCAATCCTCAACAGGTTTTAGCTGTGCCTAGCGCTCCTGTGAGCTTTGGCAACAGCGGGGTCAATCCTCAACATGTTTTAGCTGTGCCCAGCGCTCCTTTGAGCTTTGGCGACAGCGGGGTTAACCCTCAGTGTGTTTCAGCTGTGCCTAGTGCTCCTGTGAGCTTTGGCGGCAGCGGTGTTGATCAGCTTCTGCGTCGGGCTGAGCATGTGCATGGTGAACATCGTTGCGACGATCGGGCTTTTGCGATGCATGGAGATCTACCTGCACAAGCTCGGGCTGTGCCGATGAACGCTGATGGAGTTGGTCTGTTTGACAAAGGTTATGGACGCTCTCAAGACCTTCCACGGCATGGTGTGGGGGGAGGTGGATTTGGAGATGGACCATATCCGGGCAGAACATATGGCCCGTGGACAGAGCACTCAGGTGGATCGATGAACACCAAGGGAGAACTTCCAGATCTGCCTGCGGACTCCTCTCCATTGCAATTTGGAGATTGGCTTCACCTGATCACGCCGATCATGAAGGACATCAGTGCATCAGCGGACTGGTGGTGGGAATCAACGCTGAGAGAAGCCAAGGTCTTCTATGAGACAACTCGCCGTTGCAGAGGATCCAAATACAACCACGACTTCCACAGGATCTTCAAAGCTCTCAATTTCAACGAACAGAACAGCGTGGAATCCAAATGCTTCTCAAAGCGATCCCATCTACGGAACAGCAAGCTTTGGTGACTGACAGAATCCTTTCTTCGACCGGTATCCTCTTCAAGTTGTTGGTCAGGTTCCAGCCAGGTGGTCCAGGTGAAAAACAACTTTTGCTGACTCACTTGACGACGTTCCCCAAGTGCAAGGACATCCAAGAAGTGGCATCAGCGTTGAGAAGTTGGAGACGGCATTTTGGCCGTGCGTTGGAAGTGGAAGCAACACTTCCAGATGGTGTGCTCTTGTTGAAGAACCTGGACATGCCTCAACAAAAGCTGGGATCTATGGACAATCAGGCGGCATTCAGGCTTTCTCAGAGCCGCATGGAGTTGCAGTTGGACCAGAAACCAACACAGCAAAGCCTTTGGGCCTTCAGCCAGTGCCTTCTTGCAGAGGCCGGAACACTGGCACTGTTCCAATCATCTACAACTGCGACAACGGATCAGTCTCCTTTGAAGCTGAAACAAATGCAAAATGATCCGAAAACACCTTCAAGAACTCCGGCAACTGAGGGCAACGTCAAGTCGAGCCCTATGGCGGATAAGCCATGCCGCTACTTCATCTCTGATGGTGGGTGCAAAGCTGGCAAGTCATGTAAATGGCTACACTCTTGGGATGGGGTAACGGACAAGTCCTCTCGCTGTTGGATTTGTGGTGCAAAAGATCATCGGAAGTCCGAG